GCCATCAAGTCGCTTGCGACTCATAGCGACCCTATGTACAACATCCCTAAACTCTGCTCTGTCCTGTGCCAGTTGCACTGTCTCCGACACACCCATCCTGATTACCCCAGTCACTGAATCAATCCACCTCATAGGGGGCTTTCCCCTTCTGCTCTGTTCTCCACCCTACTAAGTATGATGTCTCTCTCCAAGGACCTGTCCCTCCTTGCAACATGTCCAAAGTATGTTAGACAGCCGTAGAATCCTTGCCTCCAAGGAGCAGCCCGGTTTGACCCTTTCTAGGAGGAATCTGTTTTCCTAGCAGTCCATGGTACCCTCAATACTCTTCTCCAGCACCACAGCTCAAAGGCATCAATTCTCCTATCCTCCTTAGTCATTGTCCAACTCTCTGATGCATAACAAGTGATAGCAAAGACTTCTTCAGACACACCTTTGTCTCCAAAGAGACACCATTCTTAAGTACTTTGGAGAGGTCCCTAACAGCAGACTGTCCCATGGCAATATGTCTTCTAATTTCCTGGCTGCTGGTGCCAAGAGTGTTGACTGTGGAGCCAAGCAAACTAAAGCTGTGAACAATCTCAATCTCCTCACCATCCATCCTGACGCTGCCAATTGGCCCAGTGGTGAGAATCTTTGTCTTCTTGACATTGAGCCTCAATCCATAATGGAGGCTGCAGTCCTTGACCCTCTGCAGTAAACTAAATAGGTGAAAATAAAATATTGATGTAATCTTAAGCCATCTCTCCACCAATTAAAGGAGTAACTTTTAGGTGGAGAATCCTGGAGGGCAATGTCAAACTTAAGCGGCACCCATGGTGTGGAAAAGGAAACAAAACCTTAACATCCTCTTAATCTATACTTATATCACATGCAAGCAAGATTCTGCTGAAGATTATCCAAAAACTACCAGAACACATCAGAGAACTGCCTGAAGTGCAGGCTAGATATAGAAGGGGCCATGGTACAAATCTAGCTAGAAGCAGGAGTACTAGAGGAATGTCTGTGTTTCATTAACTATACAAAGGCATTTGTGTGGATCACAACACACTGTGGCTGACTTTGAGAAGAATGGGAATCACAGATCACTTGATTGTGCTTATGCGAATCCTATGGAGGTAGTCGTCAGAACAAAACAAAGAAACACTGCATGGTTAAAAATTGGGAAAGGTGTGTGCCAGAAATGTGTCCTATCTCCATATCTTTTTAATCTATATGCAGAACAGATTATCCAGGAGGCTGGGCTCTATGAGGAGAAATGTAGCATCAACAATCCGCATTATGCAGATGACAATTCTGCTTGCTTAAGCTGAGGAGGACCTGAAGAGCTTGCTGCAAAAGGTCAAGGATTGCAGCCTTCTATATAGATTGAATCTCAACATCAAGATGAGGTTATTATTCGTTAGCTTGACTCCACAAGCAACAGCAGCCATGAAATGAAAAGACTAACTGCATTGGGGAAAGTCTGCTGTCAGACCTCTCCAAAGTTCTGAAGTGCTACGATGTCCCTCTAGAGACTAAGGTGCACCTGATACAGTCTTTGCAATTACTTGCTATGCATCAGAGAGCTGGATAATGACTAGGGATGCTAGAAGCAGGATTGATGCCTTTGAGCTGTGGTGCTAGAGAATAGTATTGAATATACCATGGACTGCAAGGAGAACAAGCAGGTTCATCCTAGAGAGGGTGAGACCAGGCTGCTTTTTGGAGGCCAGGATTCTGAAGCTGCTTTGTCTGACGTACTTTGGGTATGTTGCAAGGAGGGACCAGTCCTTGGAGAGCGCAAGAGAGGAAAACTCTCAATGAGATGGATCGATTCAGTGACTGGGATGGGGGTAGGTGTGTCACAGGCAATAAGGCTGGCTCAAGATAGAGTCAGGTTCAGAGCTACTGTACATAGGGTTACTTACTATGAGTTGCAAGCGACTCAACAGCACTTAACAACAACAACATTTTACCAAGCATAACACGTCCAAAATATATGAGAAAAAAAATTGTATCCTTCCTTCCAAGCAACACTCTGGCCACACTTCAAATACAGTCAAGAGCATCCAAAGATCTAAGGGGGACAGAGTACCATCCCACTGAACATAAAAGGTCCTCAGCCTTGCTCCCTCTCGGGCATTATGGGAACTGTAGTTCAGCAGTCAGTCTTATCGAGAAAGTCTCACGCTTTTGCGGAGTCTCGGGAACTTCCGTCCGGCCAGGTCTGTAGGATTCTGGGAATTGTAGTCCAGAAGGCCTGTTAGAGTAGCCATACTTCCGCCCCAGGAGTAGCTTTCCTGCCATGTTTTGCTACCTTGTAGCGATTCCGTTGCTTCTCGACCTTTCGATCGTTTCAGATCTGTGGTTGGCGTCTGCAACGCCCGGGATATCAGTTTTGGGGGGAGAAAAGGGGTCATGGCGGAAGCAAAGGTTCTTGGAGGGACGGCAAAACCACTTCCGTTTAGGGTGATTTGAGGGTCGCTGGGTTGGGGACCGCTGCCTGTCCTCCTTAGGCTGGGCTGAGGGTCTTCCACTCTCTTGGCTGCAGGAAGCACCGATGCCCCTCTTTCCCTGTCTTTGGCCAAATTACTAAACTCTCTGTGCCTCTCGATGCTCTTCTGCGCAGTGTCTTGATACTGAAGTATATGTATTTTTAAAAAATAATAAATTAGTAGGGCAACCAGCTTGAGGGTCCACCTTAACGTTAGTGGCACCTCGGAAGTTAGGTCTGGCGATCTACTTCGGAAAAATCAGCACTTAAGCACAGATCTACTTTAAACCCCTTAGAGTCGCAGTGAGTCCGGATAACCTGACTTATTGGCAACTGATGGTGCAAATCAAAGTCTCAATGTAGTTTCTGGCACGTGGTGAATGCTGGTATCACCTTGTTGGGAATATATAGTTTGCCAGGAAACTTTGAGCTCCCGTCAAACTATGAGCAAGGGGAGCTGTCAGTTCTATGTGCAGTGAATCGCTGTGGGAAGTGGGGCCTTTCTGACTGAGCCTTCCCTGCAGGAAGCTGGACCTTCTGAATCCCTTCTGGCTTCCTTTTTGGTGTAAAGGAGGATGCTGTTTTTAGTTGGTGTGAGGTGAAGAGAGAGAATGGGATTGTTGGGAAAAGGGAAGCAATCATTCCAATTGACCGTCTCCTTCCCTTCCTCAGCCTAATGTTTCAAAAAGAGCAGCCCTGAGGCCGAACACGGAGTCCTAGGTCTTGGCAGAACTCACGGTAAGTTGTCCTGCAAAGATACTCAATCTTCTTGAAAGATCTATGTGCTGTGGACAGAGGTAGCAGTGATGGTAATGCAACTTTGCCTGTAAGTTTCATTCTGAGTTTTATAGCCGGACTATTCCCTGAATATGAGCCCCCCAAACCAACAGTGCACTCCTTAAATTTGAGGCCTTCCTCCTATTAAGGACCTCCATGGGCTTAGTGGTAAAGAATTATGTCACTAGTGCAAAGGCTCACTTCTGCCAGCTGCTCAGAGGGAGAAAGATGGACAAACTCCTCTCATCTGCCAGGCAAAAAAGAAGAGAATTATTAGAGAAAATATTTTGCAGAGGGAAACGTAGAGGGACATGGGCAGCTAGCCCTCTACTCATGGGGTTAAGAATTAACCAATCAATAGAAAAAGTGCCTCAGGTTTATTGGGGCGGGGGCAGTTCTGCACAGGCGCTGTTGTTCCAAGATGTCTGTTACTGGAAATACTGGAAGTACTGGGTTCTTATAGGGAGCATGCCACATTATCAAGGTTGCTCGGTGTGTGGTGATTCAGAAAATAACAGAAATTTCATGCCTGTTGCTTTAAAGATGGCTGTCTCAGAGTCTTCACTGAACATGGCCTTTTCAGCTGGCTGCTCTCTTAGAGGTCATAATGAGCGAGTCACATGGCCTCTCATCCCAGCAACAAAAGTAAAGTTCAGCAGGGCAACAAACAGCAAATGCTAGTTAGATTGTGGAGAGATTGAAACTCCGATTCACTGCTGGTGGGAATGTAAAATGGTACAGCCACTATGGAAGGTGGTTTAGCACTTTCTTACAAAGTTGGAAATAGAAATACCATTTTGACCCTGCATTTCCACTACTGAAAATATACCCTAAAGAAACCAGAGCCATGACTCAAACAGATGTATGCACACCCATGTTTATTGCTATGGTTATACACAATAGCAAAGAGATGGAAGCAACCCAAGTGCCCATTAACAAACAAATAGAAAAACTATGGTACATTCACATAATAGAGTATTACACAGCACTGAAAAACAATGAGTTAGTAAAACATTACACAACATGTGAAGCCTGGGAGAGATGCTGAGTGAACTAGCTCAGTCACAAAAGGACAAATACTGAATAGCACCAGTGTTATAGGACTGACATGGGAGGTTAGAGGGAAATAGGAAAATAGTGAGCAGATAATGAACACTGCAGTGGCACAGATGAGGGCAAGAATTGTCTGAGAGGAAATGTTATTAGGCATTATATGTATGACAACAATCTGTAACGAGTTGCATTGCAAAGTGGCCTGGAGTAGGGAAGAGGGAGGAAAATGTGCATCAATGAATGAAAACCCAACCTTCTGCAAACTTTTGTTAATATCACAATTTAAAAAATAAAATTTATTTTCAGCTTTAAAGATATGTTCGTAGATCTTGAAATGCCCGCATTACCTGAGTGCTGTCTTTCCTGATCTGAATTATCTTAAGGGAAAATCCTCCAAGTGTCTGAGACTATAAATCTTAATGAGAAAAGGCTGCTGGACCTTTCTTCTGTGTAGTGACTAGCAGATTTGAACCATCAACCCCTGACCCTGTACTGGGAGGGCTTGGACATCTCGTGTCCATATCATGCTGTGCGTGTCAGGCCACATGCAGCAGTAGCCACCCTGATAAAAGGGCCCCTTGGCTAAGTAAGTGTCTGTGTAGGCGAAGATCACCCCTGGCCACCTTTAATGCCTGTCTTCTCTTTCTCCAATTCTGCCTTTTCAAGACTCAATACCTTTCCAGGAGCAGGAGGAAAAATGAGTGCATTCAAGGTGAGTAGGGCTTGCCTTTCTTGTTGAAATTCTTTCTCATCCTCTGACTGGACATATATTCTCTTTCCAGAGAACTCTCAAGAAAATAGCAGGTATTTAAGGATATTGTGCACCAGTATAACTTGATCTGTTTTGGATGGACTTTGAATTCTTTTTAAAAAGAAAGGCATTCTGGTAGCATAGTGTGTAATGTGTACATAGTTGGCATCTACCAGCTGCTCTTTGGGAGAAGGATGGGCAGTGACCTCCTGTAAAGATTTACAGCCTCGGACACCTGATGGAGAATGGACTCAGAGTCAGAATCAGCTCAATGGCAGCAGGGTTCTTCCCTTAAAAATAACATTAAAAGTAAGCACCTGTTCTTTAGTACTGCTCACCTTACAAAGAGTTTAGTTTTCTTATCGTTTCTTTGTTTGTATTATTTCTATCATAATTGCTTCACACTATACAACATGGGAAGCTTGGAAGATATGCTAAGTGAACTAGCATTAGTGTTAGTACTGTAAGTATAATATTAAATCATGCTTTTACATTCACTGCTATATAATGTTCCTCTTTTTATGATTATGTCATTTCCCATTGAGGTACCTTCAGGATTTCAGTTGCTTCCAACTCACAGTCATTTAGGTGATTTAGGGATTTTACTGTTTTAAAGAACACAATAAAACTAATATGTTGTTGTTGTTGTCATGTGCCGTCAAGTCGCCTGTGACTCATAGCGACCCTACGTACAGTAGCCCTAAACCCTGCTCTATCCTGTGCCAATCTCACTGTCTCTGACACACCCACCCCGATTACCCCAGTCACTGAATCAATCCACCTTATAGAGGGTCTTCCTCTCCTGCTCTGTCCCTCCTTGCAACATGTCCAAATTATGTCAGACGAAGCTTCAGAATCCTTGCATCTAAGGAGCAGCCTTGTTTAACCCTCTCCAGAATGGACCTGTTTGTTCTCTTAGCAGTCCATGGTATATTCAATACTCTTCTCCAGCACAACAACTCAAAGGTACCAATTCTCCCTCTATCCTCCTTAGTCATTGTCCAACTCTCTGACACATAGCAAGTGATTGCAAAGACCGTGGCCCTGTATCAGGTGCACCTTAATCTCCAGACTGACATCATTGCTCTTTAGTACTCTGGAGAGGTCTGACAGCAGACTTTCCCAACGCAATACATCTTTTAATTTCCTGGCTGCTGGTGCCCAGAGTGTTGACTGTGGAGCCAAGCAAACTAAAGCTGCTAACAGTTTCAATCATTATCATCCATCCTGATGCTGCCAGTTGGCCCAGTGGTGAGAATCTTTGTTTTCTTGATATTGAGCCTCCATCATATTAAAGGCTGCAGTCCTTGATCTTCTGCAGCAAGCGCTTCAGGTCCTCTTGAGTTTCAGCAAGCAGGGTTGTGTCATCTGTATAACGCAGATTGTTGATGAATCCTCCTCCAATCCTGATGCCACACTTCTCATACAGCCCAGCCTCCCAGATAATCTGTTCTGAATATAGGTTGAAAAGGTATGGAGATAGGGCACATCCCTAGTGTATACCTTTCCCAATTTTGAACCATGCAGTGTTTCCTTGCTCTGTTCTGATGACTGCCTTATGGTCCAACTAAAAAATAAACATTTTATTTAAAAAATAAAGAATACAGCAGTGATAGTTAAACCCTTTTGCTCCTACAGTCAGTTCTGAGAAATTACTGCCATTTTTTCCCAGTCCTCACTATATTGGGAGCTCTGATTAAAAAGTACCTTTGGTATGTGTCAGCCACACCACAGTGCCAGTTGCCCATGTGTCGGTTCTGACTCATGGTGACCTCTGTATTCTGTAGTGAAGCTGATCTCCCTTGGTTTTCTTGTCTGTGACTACCTCTAGGTGGATTTGAAACACAATCCTCACTTTTGACCAGCTGGCTACAATTTTGGGGGTTCTCATTACCCCATCAGGTTCAGCAATTTACTGAGACATCTCACAGAACTCAAGACTATGCTTACAGTAACACATCTACAATAACAGAGACACAGAACATAACCAGCTGAAGGGATAGATGGTAGAGGGAGGCTTGGGAGGCTCCCAGAGGCAACGCTGCCATTGTCTTCAAGGGTTCATCTACTTGCTAGCAGGTTGATGTGAAATGGAATGGGAGGGTAACTACTGGAACAATAAGGGTAACTATGTCCAGGTCCTCGGCTTGTGCTACACAGTGTTGAAAGGCTACACACAGGAAGTTCTTCACTTAACACCGGCTTCTGCTCTGACAACTCTTGTTTTAGATTAGTTCTGATGTAAATTGAATGCCCATTTTTTTCTTTTTCATTATGATTGCCTTTTTTTGGGTACTTTTGTAAATCTGGTCATTTGAAGTTAACATGAGAATGATGTCCATAAATACACCTGTACAACACTGTTTCTGGTATATATTACTGATGATAAGATTGGAAAAAGGGTGCGTGGGCACTCATAGGCCAGTTTGTTGTAACTTAAATACATCCTAAGTTAAAGGGATTGTTGTTGTTGACAGGTGCCCTTGAGTCAACTTAGACCCATAGTGACCCTGTGAACAACAGATCTGAACCCTGCACCATCCTGCGCCTTCCTCACACCTCCTGACACACTAGAGCCCATGTCAGCAGTCACTGTGTCAGTCCACCTGGTTGAGTGTCTTCCTCTCCTTTGCCAACCCTCTGCCTTTCCAAGCATAATGTCCCTCTCCAAGAAATAGCCTGTCCTACCAGCTTGCCCAAAGTATGTGAAGTGAAGTTTTATCATCTTTGCCTCCAAGGAACACTCTGGCTGCACCTTCTCTAAGACATATTTGTTTGTTCTTTTGGCAGTTCTCCAACATCACAACTCAAAGAAATTAACTCTTCTTCTGTCATCCTTATTCATTCATTGTCCAGCTCTCAGATGCATAGCAGGACAGGCCATCTACTTCTTAAATAGCAGGCCTTTGAAAACCACATGAATAGTCACGTGGATAGTCCTTTGTATATTGTCCTAGTACCTTGTTTACGTCTCAGAAGAACTTTCTAGTGCAATGGCCACCAAACACAGGATATTAAGGTGTGTGGAGGGAATTACTCTAGGTGACATGCTGATAATTTTTATTTATTATTATTCCCGGGCCCTGGGAGGCTTGCTCAGGCAAGGTGACTGTAAGACAGTAAACAGAGTGCTGCAGTTTATAGATGTGATGTTTGAATGGACAATACAAAGGACCGACAACGTGCCTCTAACTACCATGTCCGAGACATGTTACCAAAACCTTCATAGTTAGGCACATAATCAAGAAAACTCTTTATGGTTAGGGTATCAAATTCTATTAAAACTAAATTAGTAAACTTTTCTGGGAGATTAAAAAGTGTGTATTGTAAAGTAAAACTTGGGTCTCTCCCAGTATACAAATCTAGAGTATTAGGGGTTTTCTCTGGGGACCCTAAATAAAATGATGAGGGCTTTCATTGAATCTAAGGAAAATCAATGTATGGTGTGTGCCAAATAAAATAGAACTGATAAATTGACATACCCCAGAAAATCCAGAATGACTCCTTTACCCTCATCCCTCCAGCCTTTTTAACTAAGCAGTAGTTCTCTAAGACTGAGGCTGTGGTGTGTTTGATGTTGTAGGAGTCAGTGACGTTCAAGGATGTGGCCGTGGTCTTCACTGAGGAGGAGCTGGGGCTGCTGGACTCCGCCCAGAGGAAGCTGTACCAGGATGTGATGCTGGAGAACTTCAGGAACCTGGTCTCTCTGGGTGAGGACAGTGCCCCTTTAGGTGATCTCCTTTGGTGTTCAAGGCTTAGAGGTTTCTGGAATGGTCACCTGAATTTGGGAAACTCACTTTCATACCAATATTTCTTTACTACATAAAATCAGAGTAGAACGCATCAGCATTCATTGATTCTGGAAGAGCACACTCCAGCACAAACTCTGGCCAATGGCTTGAGTGTTGGGAAAGTCAGAAGGGAGAGATTTCATGACATGACATTTGCTGGAAGTTAAGTCAGTTTGTTTTAGTAAAATATATTTATGCAAATATGTCTTAAAATTATTGATATTTGTGGGTGGATCATGTTAGCACATTGGTTTTTATTGGTTTATGAATATTAGTAGGACCCAAATTTCCTATAAATTGTACCATTGGTGTTCACATTTGAACATGTTTATATGTAGTGGTTACTTTTTTTGTATTAACCTAGCTAGACTATAATTCCAAGTGTTTTGGCCAGGCACTACTCTATTTGACACCTTGGAGTAGTTATGTGTGATTTAACCTTGGATACCACCTTCTGTAATGTAAGCTAACATACAGTTGAAATGAGTTTAAACAGGTATTTTGGCAGAGTTCTCTTACATACACAGGGAAGTCAGATCTATATATGAATCTTTTATAAGCCAGGCACCCTTGAAATAATCAAGGAAGGCCCAGGGCTACTGACAAGAGAGGAGTCAACACCCGTATTTGGGATTGTGACCTCCAGAATTATGAAAAAATACATTTTTGTTCTGTAAGTCTCCCACTTGTAGGTGTTACGGTAGTACTAGGTAACTAAGGAAATATTTTTATTTTCTTTGGTTTCCTTAACACAATACCACAAACTAGGTAGTTTATAAAAGTGGATATTTGGTGTCTTACAGTTCTGGAGGCTAGAAATCCAAAGTAACGTGCTAGTGACTGTGCTTTCTTCAGAGGTCTCTCGGAGAGGACTGTCTTGTCTCTTTCACCCTCTGGTGGCCTCAGTTCTTTGTCTTTGACTACAGTGTCAGATAGTCACCTTCCATTCATCTCTTTTATAAAGACATCACTCGTTTAGTATATCAGGACTGACCTGATCACTATGTGATCACTTTCCTTACAGTTCCTGTTGACTTATATTTTATTTACATGATTTTCTAATCTTCATAATTTCTCCAAATAATCTTTCATTGGTGTAAAATATATAAAATGAAACATTTTCCATTACAACAAATTTTTTTTATTTTATTATTTTTTTGTGTGTGTATGTACCATCAAATCAGATCTGACTGGTACAGGAGGAGATTGCCCCTCCTTCTCCGGCAGAGCATCTGGTGGATTTGAACTGCCTATCTCTGGGATTGCAGTGCAGCTTCTTGCCACTAGGCCACCAGAGCTCCCCATTACAACAGTTTTTATGCGTGTAATTCAGTGACATTAATTATGTCCACCAAGTATAACCCAATTTTTCATACATAGTTGCAAATTTTTTTAGTCACTCTTAACAGAAGGTCTGCAATAACTCTCACTTTGTTTTCCCATCTGTTCTTAGTAGCCACCAGTAAACTTTGATTTCTCTGTTGCAATGGAATGTGACACTGCCCAGTCCTTCCTGACTTTTAGTCTATTCTACAAACTTTATATTAATGGAATCCTGCACTATTTGCCTTTTTTGTAGCTAGCTTATTTTACTCACCATAATATTTTCAAGATTGAAGCATGGTCTAGGATATATCACGACTTCATTTCTCAATGCATTATAATAGTGCATCTTATGGCTACACCATGTTTTGTTTTATCCATTCATCTGTTGTGGATTCTTGGGTTGTTTGTACTGTTTGACTTTTGAACATGGTGCTGCAGTGAATATAGGTGTACAGTTATCAGAGACCCTGCTTTGATGTCTTCTGGTTATACATACGTTAGTGGAATTGCTGGGTCATAGAATAAATCAATGTTTTAACTTTTTGAGGAACCACTAAAATGTTTTGCACAGAGACGGCATCGTTTCACAATCCTCCAAGTGGTAAGTGTAGGTGTTAGTTTCTTCTCATCCTCACCAACATTTGTTACTTTCTACTTTTTTCATAGTTTTTACCTTAGGGTGAAGTGATTTTGATTTGCATTTTTCTACCAACTAAGGATATCACTGGACAGCTTTTCTTGTGCTTATGTGCCATTTGTGTATCTTCTTTGGTAAAATGTTTTTTGTCCTTTGCCCATCTTTGATTTTTAATTGTGTTGGTTTTATGTTGTTGAGTTCCATATAAACTTTAGTTATTAAACTCTTGTCAGATACGTGGTTCCCAGATCCTTCCTCCCCTTTTGTCGGTTGCCTGTTCACTTTGTTTACAAAGTCCTCTGATGCACTTTAGTTTTACGTTTTTGTGAGGTCCACCATATTTGTTTTTATCTTTCATGTTTGGTGTCATATCGTAAAAACCATTGTTAAAACTTATCCTCTGTTCTTTTTCCTAAGAGTTCTGTGGGTTTTGGTTTTGCATGTACGTCCGTGAACAATTTTCAGTTCATTTTTGTACATAATACAAAAGAAAGATATTGCTTGATTCTTTTACATCGAGTTGTCCTAGATCTATCATCATACTTTATTAGCCTAATAATTTATTGTGACGATTTATATACTGACTTTGAAATCCCAAAGAAATAGTATCAGGTATCATGTGTTAGGTTTTTTCATTTTATTGTTAAGTTTTTTCCTTCTTTTTTTTTTTCTATAATTATATTTTATT